TTATGGGACCTAGCACCAAACAGCCATTCAATGACTTATTAAATAAGGGGGAGGAAAAAAGGAGAAAGGGCGAGGTGGAGGGTGTAGACTGAAATGAGCAAAGAGCATGGGTTTTGGAAATGCATGTGGCTTGAATTTTTTGTAAGAATTTGACCAGAGATAATGGTTAAAAAAAAAAAAAAACCACAATTATGCCTTGCACATAGTGCTTAATGACTCATAACTCTTCTCTATCAAAAGCATGTCTTTAACCCAAATGGGTTAAATAATATTACTGGAAAACTAGGAAAGTAATCTCCCACTCCAGCCAGAATTTATTCTATGTGAGCTGAAGAAATGTAGTTCGCATAGATATAGTATACCTATTTCAAAGCCCTCTGTATCACAGCCTCTCCCAGCCCAAATTCCACCTCTTGGATCAAAGCTGAAAGCATGTTTGTTTCCAGCCTTCCCTATTGTTCGCCTCTTTTTCTAAACTGGCAGCAAACTTCCTCCTGCTGGCCTGAGAACAGCTGAGCAGCAGCTGGAAAGGCTCATGGTCATGGCCCCTCCAGTAATCAGTCATGGACAAATGAAAGAATAAAGGATAGAACAGGATTTTGGCAACGTGCTGTCCCAAGTAGCTGTATTGACCTTAGACAAGTCACTTATCAGTGTGAAGACTCAGATTGATGCCAGCGTTCAAAGCCTGACTTTGCCTTTTACTAGCTACCGTTGCCATGGAGTTGATTTCGATCCATAGCTACCCTATAGGACGGAGGAGAACTGCCCCATAGGGTTTCCAAGGAGCAGCTGGTGGATTCAAACTGCTGACCTTTTGGTTACCAGAAGAGCTCTTAGCCACTGTGCCACCAGGGCTCCAACTTTAGACGAATTACTTAGGTATTCAAAGGAGCCCTGGTGGTGAAGTGATTCTGTTCCTCAGTTTTCTCATCTGTGGAAAGAGAATCATAGCCTCCTCATAGGGTTATTGTCAGGATTAAATAAAATCATTGTAAAGAACTTAGTACAGCCCTTGGCACAGAATAAAACAACGAATTTTAGCAATAATATAAAATATATGTATTCCTCTATGTGTGTGTGTGTGTGTGTGTGTGTGTGTGAAATGCCATTAGCTGATGAAGATCTATTCCAGAATGAACAAACTATTGTTTAAAGAGTTAAGTCTCAGAGTTAAGTTTAAAGAGTAATCATTTTTAGGGGTTGAATCCTGTCTGGGAAACCTTGTCTTCTTGGATTTCCTTTTTTCTTTTTTTTTAAGGCAAAAGACAATGTTGTAAAGGGAGAATGGAAAATAAAGAAAGTTACCAAATCCTGTAAGAGAAAATTCTTGATCTCTAAAATCCTGGCTAAACCCTAGGGACTCCACTCCAGTCCAATGCTTGTTACGTAGGACATGACTGTGCAAGAAAGAGTTACAGACAAACCAGGAGAAAAGAACGAGATGAGAGGAACATTTGTGGGAAACTAGTGTAGGAAAGGTTGGGCAAAAGAGAAAATTCTGGAAAAACTGGAAGGATTCTGAAAAATAAATAGGACAGGGATTTAAAAAAAAAAAAAAAATCAAACCCGTTGCCTTGGAGTTGATTCCGACTCACAGGGACCCTGTAGGACAGAGTAGAACCGCCCAATGGGGCTTCCAAGGAGCGGCTAGTAGATTCCAACTGCCAACCTTTTAGTTAGCAGCTGTAGCTCTTAACCACGGCGCCAGGACAGGGATAGCTAACATTAATCAATCACTTCCCATATGCCAGACACTATTCCAATTGCTTTACATGCATTAAATTCATTTCATGCTTTCAGCACCCTTAAGAAATCAGTATCTTTATTATCCTCATTTTGCATCTAACAGAGGCGGCGAGAAAAAACCCAAAACCAAACTGGTTGCCGTCCAGTCAGTTCCGACTCATACCAATCCTATAGGACAGAGTAGAGCTGCCCCATAGGGTTTCCAAGACTGTAATTTTCAGGGAGGCAGACCTCCACATCTGATGGCTTTGAACCGCCAACGTTTGGGTTAGCAGTCTCGAGTGCTTAACCACGGTGCCACCACGGCTCACGAGGCAGGGAAAGGTAACATAATTTCCCCAATGATTACACAACTTTCAAAGAAGTTCTTCATTTAAAAGCTCAATGAAATGGTTGAGTTGGCAGGTATGAGATTCATTCAGAATTCCAAAAAGCCTTTTGCCGTCGAGTCGATTCCTATTCACAGCGACCCTATAGGACAGACTGGAACTGTCCCATAGGGTTTCCAAGGAGCAGCTGGTGGATTCGAACTGCCATTTGGTTAGCAGCCAAATGCTTAATCACTGTGCCACCGGAACCCCCATTTAACAAGAAGGGGGAAAATAACAAGAATAGGGATGGAGCCGAGTTTATGTTGATTATCATCGGGGGTGGGGGGGGGGGTGGATTAACCAGCAAGCAAGGTGCGCACAGGTTTGCTTGTGCTTATTTACTAATCCGCAGTGCAGTTTCCCCTGGTTTTCACCACATGAAAATGTCCCTACTTATAATGATGTCATTGAGGTTTTAAATTTCAAAAACTCTAGTATCATTTTAGAAAGTATTTTAAAACTTTGATCTCTGTTTTATCCACGCCAATAAAGAAATAATCAGACTGTACTAGAGAATAAGTAATACAAACAATGCATCAATGACTTCTTTTGTTTGGGTGAAAAGCAGTTTAAAGCTTGAGACTACGTAGCTCTTCTACCATAGTTGTAATATTTTTTTGTTACTTAGTCTTGCTTGTCTCTTCCTTCCACCTTACCCCACCAATTTTAGTGAAAATAAAGAATGGCATTAAAATAACAAGAGAAAACTAGTTTTGGATTTAGTTTAGGGGCTGACCACAAATGGGAACTCACCAGACACTCTAAAATCCTTGCTTACTTGGTTTGCAACCAGGAAACTCAGTTAATAACCATCACTTTTTCAACTCCTCTTGCAAGGGCAAGTTCACAACAATTCTTTGGTGGGACACAGTTAAAAGAAAATGCAAAGCGCCTGCCATCTGAAAAAGCTCAACCATTTAGATTTAATTACATACATAACTGGTGTCCTCCCAAGTGTGAAAATGCTGAAGCCAAAAAATCAAACAATAAAATGCTATCTGAGCAAAACAGATTTATATAGATGTGTGAGCAAAAAAAAATTCACTGACTTGCACTGGGTATTTTTACTCAGAAACGTCCTTAAAAGCAAGGGCAAATGCCTGCTCTTTGAATCTTGCCTTCTTTTGAACACTCAGGTCAGTCAGTTTCCCTAGAGGGGCATTCTTGTGCAATGACTTTTAAGTGGACAGGAGATTTCAAACTTAAAAACCTCTCTCTGTTAAGGGACCACACTACTAACGTGCTTGTAAAATTTTAAGGACCATCTTATTTGTCTAGTACTGTTTGTTACATGCTTAATAACTATTAAATGAGGCTTAATTCAACAGAAAAAATATTTCACATTAAAGCTTCCTTGAAACGCACATGCAAGGAAGACTTGTAAACTTTTGCAAAGCCAAATTTTTTAAACAAGTGACATTCAGATCTTTCCAGGTAGCATAGCAAAAAAAAAAAAAAGACTCTCCCTAATAATAGTAATGGAATAATCCAGCCATTGCCACCAATTTCGATCTTTATGTGTTTTTAAACGTTCCTACTTCAAATTACAATTTCTTTGTGAAGGACAATCTTAGGTAAGAAAGTGGGGGAGACTGGAGTCGAGTTATCTTTTGGGCACACCTTTGCCAAGTGTTCATTGTTTGGGAGTATGGACTTACCTCATTTTTCATGTTCCCATTTGTAGTGAAATTTAACTGGAAAAACATTCCTTTAGTAAACCTTGTGAAAATAATATATTGATAAACTTCATAGCTCTGGTTAACTGTGTTAAAGGCACAATCTGATCTCTAATGACACTTTTCTGAGGAAAAGAGCCAGTCAGCTGAATAACTTCCATATTCACTGCGCTTATGAGAATGAAAATATAACAGACGTTAGGATTTCAAAACCATCTGCAGTTTCAGTAAGGAAAAGAGTAAATAGTAGAGGGGCCTTCTTTATCATTAAATCCTAACGCTCTTGGTTTTTCATTTGTTAATTCAGAAAGCAAAATGGCTCTCTCCTGAGTTGCAAAATTTCCTTTCTTACCTTGCCTTCTGCATCACACCATAAAGCTAACTTTAATAAAGTGATTCTGGCTACAATATTTTTTTTTTTTTAATTTTGGAGTTCTAGACCCTGGCAGGAAGGCAGACACGTAACAATGAGAAAGAGGCAAACTTCAGAGATAGTCTCAGAATGACTCAACAAGATTCATTTCCTAGTTCTTGCTAGCTGTGGATTTTTAAGTGTGGATCTGGTTCCTGCTCTTGTTTCTGTAAATATTTATCTGTTAACAATTACTCCACCTGCATCCAACAGAAACAAAGTTATCTGAGGACATAAGAATGTTTTCTTTCCTAAAATGTACTAAATGATTTGAATTCATTTGAGGTTTTTGGAAACAGGAGCTTTCATCCAGTTATCAGACTTAGGTCATTCAATTTTGACACTAGTTAAATTATGCATCTTAAAAAGTCACGTTTTTTCAGTGTGCTCTGTGTGTCTCCTTCTTCATTATTTCCCACTCGTGTGGCTCTTTCAAATAAGTGTCTCTAGCTAAATATTTGCCTCTCTAATCAAACATGTCCCCCAGGCTATGCCAAGTTAATAGAACTGCTTAGTAAAATCCACTGAGTTCTGCACAAGAACCTTTCATTTAGAGGAGAATTCCTACCACTTGGAAAAATTTTAAGAAATGAATTTATGAAAAGTTGTCAGATATGCTTGCAGTTCGCTATTTGAGCAAGACACAAAACCCAGACTTGCATTTTGCAAGCCTTTCATTTCTATATTTTCAAAGGTTTTTCACGCAAGTTTGCTTAAATTGACCCCTTGTGCTTTAAATAATTGTAGTTTTCACAAACCTGAGGCAAAGCAGCAAATGTAAAGTGTACTAACCTTAGTGTATTGAATCTTCAAATTGGCGAGTGGAACAGGTAAGTCGGGCATGGCTGAGGACATTTCTGATCCGGTTCCTGGAATACAGGTGACAGGCTCAGCAATTTGTTCTGATCGAGCACTTGGCTTTATTTGTTCCTTTTTATCTGAATGGGCTAAGGTTAATTTGCATACTGGGATATGATTGGATGAACAAACTTGGAGCTAAAAGAAAACGACACTACTTATTGGTAACACCTAGGGCAGGAAGCCTTTGACTTTAAACTTAAATCCTTAAGAAACCAGCGCTCTAGCACCGAAGCTGCACCTGGAGACAGTGCACTATTTGCAGACGAATTAATTTACAAAGCCGAATCCTGCGATAAGGGCACGCAGCACAGCTGCGCTGGCCTTGAAGGCCGGTTATTATTATTATTATATTTTATTTCATTTTGTCTTGTCATGCTACTATGTAACTTTCCATTCTCTGACACACTTGGAATCAGAGACTATAAGGATTACAACAGACTCTAAAAGGGCATTTGTTCTCAGTAGAAGCTGATGAAGACAGGACCTTGGCCAGGGTGTTGTTTGGGAAAGAAAGGCTCTCTTTCTAGACCCTAGCCTAAGTCAGCTTTAAAAAAAAGAAAAATCAAATCAATCAAGTGTTATTCCAGTGCTAGATAAGTAGACCTCCTGTGATTTCAGAAGCTCTAAATTATTTTTATTTTATATCTTATTTTATAACAGAGAAGTCAGTAAGATTTTTAAGGTACTCAAAAGTGCTCTGTCATACAAAACTACCACAATTAGCAATATGGTAATATCATTTGCTAAAAGTCAACTTCTGTTTATGGAATTTGTCTGTATTTATCACCACTGATATAGGCAATTGTACAAACAACGCATTAAACAGGATTCCCAAATGATTCAAATTCTTAAAATGAATGTTTCCAGCTGGGAACATTAAAAAAACATTTTTTTTAACTATGTTACTCCCATTTTAAGTACAATGCTTTATTGTATTGAAGCTCCGGTAAAAGTTACAAAGGGAACAAGATTAAACAATATTATAAGATTAAATAACAAGATAAAAAAAAAACTTTGGGTACTCTTAACTCTGTTTATTAAGAATAACATTTTTTTTTCTAGTGAAAATTGCCAGCTCTGCTGAATACTGAATTTAGATAGAGGAACAAAGATTGATGGAATAGTTACTCCAAATCAAGTGCAGGAGCCTGACTCTTCTGTCCATCCTGACCTGGAATCCCCAGTTTACAGATGTGGGGAGGGTAAGGAAGTTACTCATAATCACAGAACTAATAAGTGCGAGACAGAATTTGATCTCAGGCCAGTGTGACTTCAAAACTCTGATTCTTATTCCTATTGATTCTCCCAGCCCTCCTCTCCATAATAGAATTCACAGACAGGTTCAAGAATCAGCTGCTTTGGCTCTCTAAGTGAATAGTCACCCTCACAAGTACTTAAGTTTAATCTTTTATTCATTTAAGGCAGGAGTTGGCAAACTTTTCTGTAAATGGACAAATAATAAATATTTTGGGGTTTCTGGGCCAAACAGTCTCTGTTGCAACTACTGGACTCTGCATTTGTAGTGTGAGCTGAATTATAAACAAGTAAATGAATGGGTGTAGGCATCTTCTGATAAGTATTTATTTACAAAAACAAGTATCAGGTCAGATTTGTCCCACGGCCTGTAGTTTGCCAACTTCCCTAGATTCTAAGGCAATACCATCCCTAAGGTTCTTTTTTTTTTTTCTTTTTTCATTTTACTGTTGTACTTTAAGTGAAAGTTTACAATTCAAGTTAGTGTCTCATAGAAAAATTTATACATACATTGTTATATGACCCTAATTGCTCCCCCTATACTGTGACGGCACACTCCTCCATTCCACCCCTGATTTCCTGTGTTCATTCAACCAGCTCCTGACCCTCTCTGCCTTCTCATCTCACCTCCAGACAGGAGCTGCCCATTTATTCTCATGTATCTACTTGAGCTAAGAGGCACAGTCTTTACCAGTATCACTTTATGTCCCAGAGTCCAGTCTAATCTTTGTCTGAAAAGTTGGCCTCGGGAATGGTTTTAGCGCTGGGTTGACAGAGAGTCCAGAGGCTCATGCTTTCCAGGGTTCCTCTCGTCTCAGTCAGACCATTAAGTCTGGTCTTTTTACTAGAATTTGAGTTCTGCACCTCACTTTTCTCCTGCTCCATCATGCACTCTCTGCTGTGTTCCCTGTTAGGGAGGTCACTGGTGGTGGCTGGGCACCATCTAGTTCTCCTAGTCTCAGGCTGATGAAGTCTCTGGTTTATGTGGCCCTTTCTGTCTTGGGCTAATACTTTCCTTGTGTCTTTGGTGTTCTTCATTCTCCTTTACTCCAGGTGAGTTGGGAACCATCCCCAAAGTTCTTGATTCTCCTGTGTCTCATGCATGAAGACCAGCTAGAAACTTCTGTGTTATTCCTACTTCTGTTTTCTTTCTTGCTCTCTCTCTCTCTTTTTCTTTCTTTCTTTTCTTTCCTTCTCTCTTGCTCTCTGAAAATCTCGTTGTTTTTCAAAAATGTGTTTTGGCTTCAGGGTAAGTTCTTGGTTTGAGGTTTAAAGATTATCTCAGGGCAATAGTTCCAGGGGTTCATCTACCTTCCATGTCTCCAGAAAGCCTGGAGTTCATAAGAATTTAAAATTATATTCTGCATTTTCCCCTTTTGATTAGGATTCTTCTATGGGATTTTTGGTCAAAATGGTAATGGTAGCCAGGCACCATCCAGTTCTACTCTCGTGGCAAAGGAGGCAGTTGTTCATGGAGGCAATTAGCCACAGATTTTATATTTTCCTCCTATTCCTGACTCTCCTTCTTCCTCTGTTGCTCCAGGTGAATAGAGACCAATTGTTGTGCTTTGGATGGCTACTTGCAAGCTTTTAAAACCCCAGGCACTACACAACAAACTAGGAGATAGAACAGAAGCACTAAACACATTATTAGGCCAATTCATTGGGATGTCCCAGGAAACCATGACGTCCAAACCTCCAAACCATAAACCTCCAAACCAAAGAACCAAATCCTGTGAGGTGTTTTGTTGTACATAAGCAGCCTCAGCACCTACTTTTTTTTTGTTGTAAATGTATCTATCATACAACTTTTGCCAATACAACTTTTTACAAGTGTACAATTTACTGACAGCAATTATAATAATCGGTTGTGCAACCCCACCCTTAATAAATGCAATTTTTTCATTACTTCCCCTTTTCCCCTTCCTCCTGCCCCTGGTAACCACTAATAAACTTTGGTCTCTGTACATTTGCCTTTTTTTGTCTTTTTATATAAGTGAGGTCATACAATATTTGTCCTTTTGCTCAGCATAATGTTGAATTAAATGTGCAATTACACAACAGCTGTTACATAGCTTGCAGAGTGGTGCTCCAGCCATGCCTGGACAGCTGTGTTTTGCTGCTTTCTTCTCCTCCCAGCTTCACAGTTGTTTATGCATTCAAACACTAGTTTTTTGATGCTCAGGCAGTGAAAGCTCAAGGCTTCATAATATAACTGGCATGCTGTTTCACTCCTATGTGCTCATCCTTGATCATGTTTTATTGGGTAATTAAGTAAGGACAGTCCATTTATACCAGGCATTATTTAATGTAGGCAAAAGGAGCAGCCTTGAAGACAGGTTACCACACCAGCCCATTTCATTTCAGCAAATATTCACTTAGCATGTTTTATAGAAAAGGCATTGTGATTAGACGACCAGCAATTCCCTAAACTTAACCTTATTTGAAGGGCATGCCTTTCTGCCCTAAAACCACAGGGCCTCCTGAGATTTAATTTTTGAGGTAAGCATCACCCTGTCCGTAGAACTTTACTCATGGAAGAATATATTTCTGGGAATTGCTGCATGGGTTAAAGGCTTTATCAGATTCAGATTACTTCCCTTCGTTGACAGAGGGAAAATAGCTTTGGTGAGAGCACAGGGGCCAAGGAGGTACATATACTTCAAGATCTGATCCAGAGCTGTGTGTTTTTATTGTATCCCAGAGTTATGCAGCAGGAAAGGGCCTGGCACTTGAACTTGGGGTAATAGGTAAGGTACAAATGGTTAGCACAAATGGTTACTGTGCTCGACTGCTAACTGAAATGTTGGAGGTTCAAGTCCACCCAGAGGCACCTTGGAAGAAAAGCCTGACCATCTACTTCTGAAAAATCAGCCATTGAAAACCCTACGGAGCACAGTTCCACTCTGACACACATGGGGTAACTACAAATTGGAATTGACTCAGTGGCTACTGGTTAAGTGGTCAGTTAAATAGGTAGGGTTTGTTAAATCTTTCTTTCCTTCTTTAAGACAAGCTAAATTGCACGAGTGTCTGAGTACACACACACACACAAACACACACACGAGTATATATATATATATGTATTTAGAGAAAGAGACAGAGATAATAATTTATTTATCTCTTGAATCTGTGAAATTTTGCATCCCTTTGATTGTAACAGCTATCATTATACCAAGAAGCTCATAGTCCATGACTTCAACCATTGCTCAAACTACTCTCTCGTTTTCACAAGGAACTTTTCCAGAATGTGAATCAATCACCAGTCACTGAAAAGATAATGGGGCCTAACCTTCTCCCACCCACATGAGTAACTGAAAGAAAAATAATTCAAATTTGTTAATATAACTGCTAGTATAGTGATATAAAAAAGTTTTTCTTTTTTTAACCTTTTCTGATTTCAAAACCAAAGCCCTGGATAAATTGTTGACGTTTAATTTCTCTCTCGGTCATATCTCCTCTATCTCTTCCCGCGCCCTCCTATTTTACGGTGGCATTAAGCATAGCTGGATTAGTCCGTCTGTTCTTTAACCCAACAATGGATATATCCCTTTGCTTTTGATGACTACAATTTTAGAAGATACTATGTCACTCTTCTCTCTGGGTTTTAATACTTTGGAAAAAGTGAATCTTGTATGTGGTGAGAGAATCTGTGCTTGGTTGGCCAGTCAGGGCTGGAGGTTGAGGCAGAAGGCAGAATTTGAGTATGTTGATACGTGAACATGTATATTTGTGGGCTAATTACTGTTCATCTGCCATTCTTCTCCAATTAACAAAATTTCTTCACCTCTGATTTCTCTTGCTCTCCACATATTCTATCATTGTTTTTCTCATTGTCT